CACATACGCGATGACATGCATGCTACTGGTCTTCACGCAGCTTCTTGTAGGAACGTAGCAACTCCCCCATTGCATAGTCCCGATGCCGCGACGCAAATGTGCAGGATGTGGCGCTTGGGGGCATAGATAGATGCAAGTGCCGCGCAGTGCACAAGACAACAGTCAACAGCAAGAGCGAGGGCAAGCATCCCAAGACAGAGAAGACCACGACTTGCGTCACGAATGTCTTCACCCAAGCTAACTCGAAGCAACCCAACAACGTTAGCACCGAGATGGCGAAGAAGGAGTTGGAGCTACAACTTGAAAGAATGAAGCTGGCGCGTCTACGAGCTGAAGCACATGCACGCGAAGAGAAAGAGAAGATCAAGCAAGCCAAAGCAGATCGCCACAATCGTCATGGGAATTATTGGGGTTATCCACGTAAGTCTTACGATTATCGGAAAGCGTTGCCTCCAGCAGGCGATTCTTCCAGAATTGCTAAGAATGCCAGAAAGTGGCGTTGGGAGCAGTGTCCTGATGAGTTCTTTCCTAACGAAGCTTTTTGTCTGAGCAAAATGATGGCATGAACTAGCGGCTTCTAAAGCTCAACATGCAGAAGCACGCATGAAAACTCCATCGTGTCGGTTTTTTGAACCGAAAGTATACACACGTGAATGAACATGTTCATAGCACCATATTCCTGTACCACACAAAAGTGAACACATACATGTACCTATATATGCAATATATGCACTAATACGCATCTCTTGTATACATCCATGTTCATACAATACATACAGGCGCGTACATCTCTGAGACATACTGTTGTATCCTGTGTTACTGACTTGCGAACATGTACACCTTGTCTGATTGTTACGATCTTGCCAACTTTGTCTCACTAGCTGCTTTGACTGCTCAAGACCAACTCTGCGTAAACTCCCAGCCAAATGCCCGCCAGTACTTAGGGTAGTGCTTGTGTTTCCTGTTACCTGCGCAGGCAACCTGACGAATTTAAGCTCTGATTTGCTATCTGCCTTGCTTTGCTTTGGCTTTGCTTTGCTTGTTGAGTATACGATTGGGAGCGCCCTGCTTTGTGACCGCGAGTTAAGTGGATTCCTCTCTACATTCCACATAATCATTTTCATCTTCCTCCACTTGGATAAGTCCTCTGAGCTGCCAGAAGGTCCGGAGTACCGATTTCCTGGCAACGGACCGTCCGCCCGAGTCGGAAGCTCCTCGTGTAAGAAAGAGATTGCTACGCCGCTCACCACATGCTGCGAGTGTGGAGCTCCTTTCGGGCGTCGCGATGAAGTCGAAGGTCGTTGCTACACGCTCGAGGGCTTGGAATCCGTGGTAGCTACTTCCAAGCGATGCTCGTCGAAGACGTGTCGGGTGACTCACCACTACAAGTTCCGCACAGTGGAAGGTCACAAAGGACATGGAATATGTCTTCATCAACACGAAGACCAGCTTCACCCGTAGCTTCTTGGACTACCATGCAGAGCTTCAATTTCGAGCAACACTGAGCAGCAACGCAATCGCCTTTGCACAGGCCGAAACGCCATGGGAGGATTCGACGCAGCACTCCAGATGGGATCAAGAGTATTGCGCGGTGCAGCTGGATTATGCTGTACTTCAGGACGGAGTCGAGATGTGGTCGTCGCAGGGGCATAGCATGTGCTACAAGAAGCTCTGCGCGATCGACATCGCCGATCCATTGAAGAATGACGTCCTGCAGTCTTACAAGACTTGGTGGCATGCGAAGCGGCTGACCAAGCAGGAGTGGCTCAAGGTCAAGGAAATTGTTATGGATGGACATCAAAAGGTAGCTGCTAAATGCACTGGGACACCACCGTCTCATCCAGGCAGGCTGCGCAAAGACGGCAAAACGCCGCTCCGACAGAACGGCTGGTTCATGGCTGTCGACCCAGGTACCGGCCTGGTCTTATCTGTGTCGGCTATGCGAGATCCTGAAAACAATCAGCTTGCCACGGGTGTTCTGCTTGATATGGTATCACGAGGCCCTCACATCGATTGTGTCATCTACGAGAGGAGGTGCGCATGCATTAAGCCTGCAGCGGCCCACAAGGCTCTCAAGCAAGTCAAGTACTGGTGCATCGACCGCTTCTCCCAAGTGCGACTGTTCGCCACTGAATCACCGGCGTCTCGACCTGCGTCTGCACAAAATCAACTCCTCTATCGCTGAGCAGACGTTCGCATGGTTTCGAAATTATGCGTCGACCTTCAACACAAAGCACAACAATTTCATCCGTCGCAGCTATGTGAAGCGTTTGAATGCCTTCAGCCTTCAGCGCGAAAGCCAAGCTCGCTAAAGCCCCTCGCATCCTCCGGAAGCCAGTCTCCCACAAGTATGTTTGTCGTCGACTCTCGTCCTCTATACCCGCTCCTGCATTATGAAGAAGAACCCGTCGTCCGTTAAGAAAGCGCACTTCAAGTCGAAGTCCGAGATCTTCAAGAAGTAGTCTCGGCCTCCAATAAGTACAGGCCTGTCGCTTGATCAGAGACTCCATGCCATCTAGACTAGTCATCTGTATATAGCACGTATCGTTTTTAAACTAGATGCTCGCTCCACCATGTTGTTTCTTCACGTGTATACTGAGCACTACGTGTTTATGACGTGCATCCTACTTTGCTCACGAACATGTATGCAAAGCGTGTCTCTATGTTACGTGTGGTGTACAAAACACCAGACGTCACTTGTGGAGTTTGAAAATGCACCAGCATCTTCTTGGCTGCTAGCAAAGCGCCGACATCGAATCACGATTGAAAAGACAGTGGATGTTGCATTTCTTGTATGCCAGCCGAAGCGTTCTGCATGAGAGAGTCCAATACGAGCGACAGAAGTGTCTTCTGAGGTTACGACCTTAGCCTCGCTGCGAGCTGGGCAGTCAGACTGTTTTGCGCAGAACTTCAACACAGCTTTAGAATTATACAAAAGATTCGAAAGAATGCTTTCTTTTTCATCCGAAAACGAGGGCCCGTATTCCGTAGCACTCCCCAGAAATATGTATGTATGTATATATATATATGATTATATATATGATTATATATATGTATGATTATATATATATGATTATATATATATATGATTATACATATATATGATTATATATATATATATGATTATATATAGATATGATTATATATATATATATGATTATATGTATATATATATATGTATATATTTATATACATATTGTCTTGTATATATTATGTTGTATACGAAGGTTACTAAATGTTAGATTAGACTAGTACATCTTATGTTTTTGGTAAACCATGGCTGCGAGGCTGGAGCGAGGATTTGCAAAGGTCCTTTCCTCGAGGTCGGTGACGGTCTTCGTGCTGCGAGTTGATGATGTATGGACGAAGAGTGAACTTCAAAAAATTGTGAAGATCCTGGATGCTCACGAGTATTTCTCGATGCTGGGGCTCCTTTGTCTTCGTCTCAATTGACACATCTCTCTGCGATTGCTTGTGGCTCCCGTAGTCATCTTGTAGACCCATGCAACCGAGGTGAAAACAGCAGCCAGTTCGGAGGCTTCCCTTATCATGGCCCCGAGAGTGTGGGACCCACGACATACCTGCCTTTGAGCTCTATGGAAATAGATCTGGTACTGGATTGGGACGCCATGCCGCTGCCGCAAAACCTGCTGGCTTTTGACTTGCAGCAGCCTGATGTCTTCAAGACTGTGCAGCTGGGAGATCTGCAGTGCGATGCTGAAGATGATGATGGAACCTGTCAAGAGGGTGACGCTGGGTGCAGGGGAGATGCATTGATAGGCCCTCCAGAGCGTCCTCAACTTCTTCACGTCACGAAGTCGGGGTCCCGGTCTCTTACCCTCGAGTGGCGGCCACACCCGGAAGGTCCAACTCCGGACAGTTATTTGCTGAGGGTAGATCCTGGTGCCCTTGAGGAAGTGTTGGACCACGATACCTTCGATGCTCTCACGAATGTACAGACATATACTGTTAACGGGCTACGCCCGAATGTAGAATACACAGTAGGATTGAGGGCGATGGGCTTTGGGGGCGAAAGTGGCAAAGTGACGCTGACGCACCGCACAGAGCCGGAGGACGACACAGCCGAAGATTCCTTGTACGACATTTTGGAATCGACACATTGTGGCATGGGGGCTGCCGAAGAAGTGCAGCCAGCAGGTCCAGCACCTGGAGGTGCCTCATACTTTCCGGGAGTTGATGACGTCGATGGGTGCAGGGCACGCTGTGAGAGCAACCGGCAGTGCGTGGCTTTTCAGGTTAACTCGGGAAATGCTTGTTGGCTCTATCGGAGGAAACCCCCCGCGTTACAGCGCCTCGCCGAACGCAAATCCGACCTCAGCTGGTGGTGTGCCGTCCGGAGAGATTGATTGGCTGAAAGGGCCTCAAAAGAAGAGCTCACCTGTTTTGCCAGCCATTACGGCCTTTGCGGGTCATATATCATGGTGCATTATGCCATGTTTTTGCTTTTATCCGATGTTGTCATCGTATTGTGGTTTGTCATGCTATATTACAGTGCATCATCGTACATTGTCGTTTATTATAGTGTATTATAGTATTACAGTGCACTGCAGTTTGTTATGTAGTCTGTTAAAACATATAGTACAGGAAAGTATGGTCGCGTGTCGTATGATATAGTACAGCATAGTATTGTATTGTACACTGCAGTATAGCAAAGTATAGTGTATCATAGTTTCCCTCGCTGGTGCAGGTTTTGCAGGACATCTGGGCGGCAGGTGATGCCGCGGGGCTTGTGCAAGTGCTGGAGGCCTGGATAGGCCAGGCTTCTCCAAGAAGTCTGCATTTCGCATCGTCTGATGCAGGCATGTGGGGATGACTCCTTGACAGCAGCTTGCTTGAATCGTTTCGTGCTGCGGCACCGGCCACTTTACTGGGACTGGCATGGAGACCACAAGCCTTCCAATTCGGAGCCAGGACTCCAAACCCACTTCCGGTACAGTCATTGGCGAGGCCGTGCCTTTTCTCCGCTTGTCATTTGCGCAGTTGCCAAATGTTTCCCTGGAGGCTGCTGCCGCTGGCGCAGAAACTCTCCCAGGCGGACTGCGAGGAGCTTTTCGGAGCCCTCCTATCCGGTCCTTGGCGTTGTGAATTCTTCTCTTCATGGTGAGGAGCATGCTGTGGCCGCTGTGCGCTTTGCCCTTCACAACTTGAGGGTGCCGCACCGCAGCAATGCTCAAGCTGAAGCGATCTCAAGCTCCGGGGAGGTCTCCTGGCCCGCCATCGCAAAGCTTCTCAGAAGTGTGTCAACTCCAAGAGTGCGGATCCTCGAACCCTTTTCCCATGGGGCCCTCAATGGTCCTTAGCTTTGCTTAGGTGGTCCTCGAGTCCTGCGAGGAGGCGGTGCTTCGCCTCCAGTCCTTGTGCCCCCGTTGCATTTCGCAGCGTGAGGGTTTTGGGGTATAGATTAGACTCTAGTGCAATACCTGCAACTATGCTATACTGCAACACAGTATTGCATGATGAAACACTGCAAGATAGCTTTATAATAAGAATAAGAACAATACTAATCATAATAATAACCATAGTATACAATAGTAATCATGATAATAAGAATAAGAGTACTAATAATATATAGTAATAATAATGATACTAATGATAATAATATTGATAATAACAATACTAACAATAATTACGAACCATCTAAACTACATTGTTAACTACATCCTTTTACTGCCATGTCGGAGTGATGAGCCCGGAAGCACCAGGTACTCCACGGTGAAGGCGCTCTCCCGATCGGTGAAGGTCTCGAAGACCAGCGGGCCGCTGGCCGCTTCCCTAGAAGACAGCAGCGGTCAGAGCCTTGCAAGCCATATCGTATGTTAGGGAGCATGACCTTTTCTCTCGTGGTAGCTTATGGTACATGATCTTTATAGTACATTGCAGTATATGATGGTATCTTTTCGTACATGATGATAGGTTGTAGTATCGTCTACCATGGCGCGCACTAGTGTTGTCTCATCACGGAAGAAAGGTCCCGCTTTGCAAGAAGCTCAAAGTGAGCCTGGAGGAGGCGGGGCATGCCCAGGGTGGGTTTGCGGCGCCCTGCTGATATTTTTGCGAGAGGCCCTGGTCGGTGCTGGACGGCTTCGCAGTTGAGTCGAGCTGATAGTGTGGACGCGGGCCCTCCAATACGGATGCCCGAGCGTGTGTGTAGTTGCTTGGGAGGACCACTCCAACAAGTGTCGACTGTATGTCGAGAAAGAAGAGGGTGAAGAGTTGAGATGAGGCTACAAACTACTACTTGCAAGTAATTGTAGGTCTCTCTTGTGAGCTAAGATAGGCTACCCTTCTTAGTACAGAGTCTCCAGACTTCTTTTGGTTGCCCGTTGCTGTCCTGCGCTGTCTTTGGTTCCCATGTGCTGTGCCCTTTTTTCGATCGGGCACAGTTCGTTGTGGCGGGGTCCTCAACGGCTTCCAAGATTCTGGGCCTTTGGCCGACCTGCCCGCTCAAGGTGACTTAATCCAGCTTCGATACTGGCAGGCAGGCTGCCTGCGTAGAGCCTGATATCTGCGCTCTGGCTGAGTCTGGCTATTTCCGTAGACTTCTGCTCTGTGTGAAACTCAGTGACAAGCGGTTCTCAGCTTTCAGGCGTGATGGGCTTCCGTGGCGTGCGCACCACCCGGCTGCAGGCGGGAATGAGCAGCGTGGAGACAGAGTTAAGTGGATTTCTCAATCGGGAAGAATTGAGAAAGTGTTTGGGTTGGACCGCTGCTCAAGGCGCTTGCAGCCGCGGTGGCCGCGTGGTGTGCTGAGTGGGGCGGCGTGCAGCCATCTCAGAGAGGCTGCCAATCGATCTCAGGACCTGGTGCTGGGGCTGCGGGGTGTTGAGCCAGGCCCCATCTCTCGCTCCGAAAAACTCTGTTTGAAGCACCTCGGGACTGCTTGTGCCAGGCATGGCTTCTGCCGCAGGCTGGGAAAAGCAGTGCTGCGCAATGCAGAAGTTGCTGAAAGCCCCTTGCTGCGCGAGGCACCTGCCGGCCGCCGTGAAGTCCTCGGCGCGGGCTTGGCAGGCCCTGCAGAGCAACGCGGGTGGATGGATTGGTGCAATGGGGTTGGCGGTGCACCGGCTGCCAGGCCTGGGCTTGGCGATAGAGGTGCGGCGCGGCCCGGTAGGCGGAGGCGGCCCTGCACGCTGGCACACGTGGAGGCTGAGCCCGCTTTGGCAAGCGGCGGATCAACGGCTGCGACCTCGGTTTGGCACAACGTGGCCATGCCGTGCTTGGACAGTGATGGAGGCCGGCAAATACTCCACGATCCCGTCGGGGAAGCGGAGGCAGACTGGAAGTCTTGACAGCATGTCGCGGCTGGCTGCACAGACTGAGGTTCTATGGGCGCGTGAAGCAAGGCCTCTATCAGCCCGCAGCTCAAGCCAGGGAGGACAGAGGCGCATGGCAGGTGTCCGAGCGTGGCGACTGCGAGGTACTTGCAGATGGAGCCGGCCATCAAGGCTGGCAACTTGAAGGCCCGGCCTTCGCGGAACGCGTTCCAGTTTTATTCATATCATTATTCCTATTGTTATTCTTATGATTATCAATATCTACTATCACCACTACCAATTATAGTACTCTCTAAAGTCACTTTGGCTTGGGAGTCCAAGGATCCCTTGATCGAGGATTTCTTCAGCCTGGAACCGGGCTCCAGGCTGTTCTTCTTGGGTGCAAGTTACAGCAGACTGAGGCAAGAACATCATCAAAGTGAAGGGAGGCGAAGACATTAAGAACTGTGGCCGCATCCCCAGACTCTGAGAGTCTAATGATAATACTATCAGCAATAAGCATCATGATAATAATAACAATAGTAATAGTCATTATCATCATAGTAATAACAATTACAATGTCTAGAGCTGGTATCTCGATTCACAGGCTTTGGCGCAAAGTGCAAAACGAAGGAGAAGAGGACCCTGAGAAGCGACAAGCGTGATTTGGACTGACTTGTAGCCGGGTAGTGTTGGTGAGCTGCTATTTTCACGTCTTGTCGCTTGGGAGGTTTCAGAATATGGGAGACCCCGTAAAAGAGGCCTTAACCTGTAGCAGTCCAAAAGAAAAAGCCTCCGAAAGGGACCCCGAAGGCACACCGAAGATCTTAAGATCCCCACTTGTCTGGTTGTCGCCACCACGACGAGGACCTCTCGCTGGCTGGATTTCAAAACCGCCAGTGACCTGCTGGCGAGGTGCCCAGTCCACTTACTTTCAGAGGCAGAAGTCTGGGCTTCATGTCTGAAAGCCTTGCGACTGAGGCTGGAGCTTTCAGATATAGTGCTGAGGACATCCCAGAATACCTGCCCCAGGTTCTGCGCATACTCCTGGCATGTCCCAGATACTCCGGTAGACCCCCTGTCTCCTGGGCAGGTGAAGATCATCCGATCCTTTGCGAAGAAGGCTCGAATCCGCTGGGAGCACGCAGCCCTGACACCGTATCCCCCTTACCCCCAAACCCTAAACTCTAAACCCTCGACTCGAAGCCCTAGGCCCCCTGGGCCTTATGGATGTCTCGGAGTTTGGAGACAGGTGGAGAAGATGGAGGCGGCAATTGAAGCTGGCAATGCCGAAGAGGCCTCATAGTCCTTGGGAGTCTCAGAGGGTTTTGGGCTTAGGGTAAACATAGGGTTCAGGGTTTGGGGTTTGGTGTTTAGGGGATACGAATTGATGGTTAGAGTGATGGCGGTTGTCCGCCTCAGAGGGACGCTGACACGCTCTTGCTTGCAAAGTCACCTTGCGAGGCTCAGCAGCTCTATGCAAAGTCCAAGCTGGACTTGAGCAGGCCGAGTGGGAAGCTTGTGCCGCCTGTGCTCCCATTCGGGAGGTTGTTTAGAACTTGTGGATCCCCGGACAAGAACCCTAGATCACAGCATGCTTGTTACGAGGTTCCTTAATTTTCTGAAACCCCCGCTCAGACATTGTCTCACGAGGTATCTTCCGCAGGTAGAGCTCGAACCTCTGGATTCTCAGGCCCGGCTTTTCGATGACGCTCCAGGCTTCTTGCGTCTTGCGTTCGGTCTGGGAGCAGCCGGCCAGGACTACACCCATCCCTGGGACACGCGTCCAGAGGCCCGAGACTGCAAGCTTGTTGGGTCTCCCTAAGCCAAAAACCCCGAAGCAAATCCGAAGCCCTAAACTCCTTTACCCGGAACTCTCTACAGATGATGCTGTGGACAAAGGGCAACAACTCCTAAACCCTGAACCCTAAACCACCAGCAGCTTCGAGTGACTTCGTTGTTGCAGCCAGGTTATCTGCCAGGGAACGTTCTGCGTGTGAGACCTGCTTTCCAGAACTTTGCTAGAAGTGCCGCGGTCAGATTTCTGTAAGTAGAATTGCGTTAAAAGCTGTATGTTATGTGTTGCCTGGTTGCCTCATATATGTAATGTATGATGCACTGCATGTTACTACTGTATAGTAGCCTTGTGGCAACCACAAGATTGGCCGTCCTTGTAGAAGCCTGAGCTTTCTGTTGAAAGCAGAGAAATCCCTCGACTGCAATTTTCCGCGGCCAGCTCCAGAATGGACGGCCGCCAGAGGTGGATTCTTGAACAGATGCCGCTCGGTATCTGTGTCCCCTTTTACAATCTCTAGACTTGCACTTTATGATGATCCTATTTCTTGCAATGAACTCCTCCTCTGCCCGCTTTTTCCGTGCCTGTGTGAGCCAAGCTCACTCAGCCAAACTCTGAAGCCCATCTTCCCAATTGGACTATGTGCGTGAAACACGAGCGTCCTGTTTCGCACCATGACGAAACTGCTGGCAGCAGATGGCAGCAGAGTGGAGCATGATGCGTGCATGGACTCTTTCAACTGGAAGACACTGAGTGGCTGCCCGGCTTTGCTCAAAAGTTTTCGTTGTGTAGAAGGGTGTGAAGTTTACCTTCGCATCTAACTCATGTGATTCAGCGATAAGCTAGCGGGTCGATCAGGACCCACAGACTGTCCTGAACGTCGCATATGTGCTCCATCGTCGAGGCCTGGGATTTCCGATTATTTGCAGTGGCACGACATGGCATCTCGTGAGATTCTCCAATGCTGGTGTATGCCTCGGCTCACCCTGAACTTGCTTGCACTGCAGACCGCACGGAACAAGCGCGGCGTTGTTTACATGTTTTGTTCTTGTCATTCTTTGTTGTGATGCCTTGGAGCTCGCAAGGTGCACGTTTGGCTTGATGCTGTGCTAACGTGCAGTGCCCAGTTCTCAGCGGCTTATCTCATCACCCGAGCTGGTCACACACGGCACGAAGCTGCTTTCGCCTGGCTTGATACAGGTGTTTGTCAGAGACTCATGTCCGCGCGGTGCAGCTTTTTTTGCCCGGTGTGGCACAAACAGTTTATGCATTCATTGCAAGAGTCGTTTTCAGGCACACTGGCGCTGTTTCACTACGCATCAGGTGTACGATCGGCGAGAGGGTTGTCTTTGGGGTCTCTTCGGGTTCATGCCCATGTCTGAGTCTAGAGGAGTCATGCTTCTACGATAGATCTAGAGCATCTTCCAGCTCCGGCTTACCACGCCGATTGCGGTGACTACAGATCTTCACCTGTTCGTGGATCGATGGCACTGAGCTTCTTCAAGAAGGCGACAAGTCGCGGTGCCTCAGCAGCCTTGTGGGTGCGACGAGGATTTAGGGTTTAGGGTTTGGGTTATTCAGTTGTGTATGAGCCGATTTCATTAGCTTCCTGGTGGTGCATAGCTTCATCTGCGCGTACGGGGACTTTGAGGCCTTTACCGCAGGTTCCCCGACATGCGACTTTTGGGGGAGTTCGGGGGGCTAGAAAGGTACAAGAAACATCTTAGAGTCAAGCGGTCCTTGGAAGCATTGTGGAGTCACCTGGGTGTTAGAGCGGTCGTATATTAAGGCTTCTAGTATTTGGGTCGATGCAAATAATATCTCCTACAACTCCAAAGTGGTGCGTCGCATCCGAAGACCTTGAATCGTAATCCCCGGCGTCCAGGGTCTACTAGGGTTTGGGGTTTTGGGTTTAGGGTTTAGCGTTTAGGGAGTTAGGGAGGGGCAATAAACGAGGCCTTCCAAGCTTTGTTGGTGGAAACCTTCTCGATGGCTGGCAACTGGCTTCAAGATAGGACGACGGCGCAGCTGATGCAGATCCGTTCTTGCCAGCCGACACCACCGCATGCGCAAAGTGACACAGTCTTGCGGCGGCGGCAAGGGGAGGATTGGTGAGACGAACGGAGAAGGAGATCAGACCAAAACTTTCCAAGAAGAGCAAGACGGGGGGGGGGGGGAAACGACCCTAATCCTTAAACCTCAAACCCTCCTGCTGTGGGGATAGCTGCTCAGGCAAGGGTTAAAAAAGAGAGTTCTCAGAGTCCATCCGAGGTGCTCAGGAGATCGCTTCATGGAGCGCAAAAACCTACACGTTCACCTTTGCCAACGAGTCGAACGGATCGGCTGCTCGGACAGACAGCCCTTATAGTAGGACAGACCCAAAATCAGACGCCCTTACTCTCGAAAGTGACTGAAAATAAACCCTATGCTCCAAAACCAAAACCCCGAAGCTCACTCCTAAGCTACCCTAAACCCTAAACCTAGCCCAAACGCTGAGCCCTGCACTGTGTCATAGAGGCCAAGATTCTGCTCGAGGAAGATCCGGAAGGCAGGTTGAGGGGTTCAGGGTTTGGGGGTTTATGGATTGAAGGGTTTAGGGTTTAGGGTTTAGGGGTTTAGGGTTTAGGGTTTATGGATTTAAGGGTTTGGGGGTTTAGAGATTTAGGGTTTAGGGTTTAGGGGTTTAGGGTTTAGGGTTTATGGATTTAAGGGTTTGGGGTTTAGGGTTTAGGGTTTAGGGAGGTTTATGGATTTAAGGGTTTAGGCTTTAAGGGTATGCGGTGTAGGGTTTAGGGGCAAGGAAGGGGGGATGATACGATGTAGGGTTGGGCTGGGCGGTATGCCTTCATGGAGGGATCCTTAACCCTGATATGAGGGCTTAGGTTTTTTGGGGTGTGGTAAGACTGCAGGAGTTTTGGGGAGACGGGGCTTTGGGGGTTTGGGGTTCAGGGTTGCGTGGGAGTTGAGGGGACAGCTGCTCATGGCCCTGGCTGGAGGTGTTGTGAAGCTGGAGGAGTGGAAAGTTGGAGATGGCATCCCGATCGTTGGAAAGGCCCTCAAGCCCTCGACCCTAAAGCCAGCGATGCGAGAGCCGCCTTGGTTCTGCACCCTAAACGCCCTAAACCCCATACCCTAAGCCCTAAACCCTCTAAACCCCAGACTCTAGACCTGTGCAAGACTACAGTCCGTCAGGCCGAAAAGCGCCACTCACGTCGGGTGAGGGAGCTGAAAAAGTCAATCCTCGCCACCTCCAAGCCGTTTCAGGAAATGGTTTTGGGTTTGGGGTTGTGGAGTTTAGGGTTTATGTAGGGGAGCGGGTCTTCGCAAAGCTTGCATGTGCAATTGTTTGAGACCTTTGTCCACAAAAAAGATCACCTGGAAGTTGGCCTAAACTCTGTGCCCGAAAATTCGCCCATCAAGCCTGAACCCTAAGCTCGGAAACTTACAACCCCTGCCCCTGAGCTCTAAGCCACACGCAAGGAGTTCGTGTTGATTCGAGATCAGCTGAAGACGGTCCACATGAGATCGCCTGTTTGCAAGTGCAGCGCCTCGCCCCAATTTCGAGGATCACACGGCGTTATCGGTGTATATGGATGTTTCTGGGGCCTAGGGTTGTATCAGGGTGTCTTGGTCATAGTCGTGTCCTATTTGGTAGTCCTTTCTGGAAGGATCCTACTTTGGAATCAGAGCATTCCAGGTACTGTATCTCATGTAGTGCTCCGCGTGGCAAGGATCCTACTCGTATGTTCTTTGTTTTTATGAGACTCCCGAAAGCGGGCCTCATTTTCGCCAGAAGTTCATGTGAGCGGTTTCTCGTCTCCAACATCTCCGGTTATGTAAGCGCTCTGCCATCCGAGGTATCGCGCTGACGGAGTGGAATGGATCTTTGAAGTTTCTGGGCAGTGTTTTTTGTGTTTTAGGCTCGTCTGTCCTGGTCGCAAAAACTTTAAACCCGAAACCCTCTATTGAGGATTGTGGAAGTTCAGCGGCAAGTTTCGGAGACCGAAACTTTTGTTGTTCATCCTGGGTATGCGAAGAGCCCAGGCCAGGGCCTCGCAGACTGTCGGACGTATACATAAATGACAGTCCGGTTCTATGTGATGCAGACAGGAAGGAAGGAGGGAAGCATTGCCTCTCTCTTTGCCTCTACGCTACAGCCCGGGCAGGAATTTTCACTCTCCGTGCCGATCTTCTCGAGCATGCACTGCGAGCAGTTGGCTTGCAGCTGCCTGGCAACATGTGTGCACCATCTGCTGTGCTCTCTTCGTAGACCCGGTAGACTCTGCAAGGCTCGGATTCGACCTGAAAGACCTGCAAGATGACGAAAGCGAGATACCAGACAGCACTGCATCAAAAAGAACATCAGTCGCAGACATGTCGAGCTTAGCGGCAACAACCATCTCAACTGGCGAAGTTGAGCCTGCCGCGAAGCTGCACGCGAAAGCGCCTATTGCAAGTTCGATTGGCAGCGGAACGGAACGGACTCCATCTTTTGAAGGTTCTGCTTCCTGACTGCAATGTCGTGCGACATTCACTGCTTCCTATACTGCTGAGCTGTGATCAGAAGCTTTTGTGGAGGTACCCTAAGTAAACCTCAGCGGCCCCAGCTATCTGCTAAGGCGAGCTTCCACTCCGGCCTCCCGCGCTCGAGACATCTGCCTGCTGTCGAAGAGGCATCCTCCGATTTGCACCGAAGTTTGCAGGAAAGCCGGTGATGAGTCTTATTATTATTGAAATATTTTGTAGGTTTATGATCCTTACTGGCATCATTACTGTAGCTGTTATTGCCGGTATCATTGTATCATAGTATTGCTAGTATGCGGCAATGATCAGGGCCGTAAGTTCTGAACAGGAGAGACGGGCTGGGGGTGCCAGATTATTCTGTGGCAGTTGCATGCATCGTCACACCGCTGGTGGTGCTGCAAGCAAGCTGTCTGCAAGTGCAGACTAGTATTCAATGACTGAATCGAAGAGCGCCTTGATTACTCACTGTCGTACCTGAGTAATGGTCGATAAAAAGTCCAGTCGGAAGACTTGTGATGATGCGGGCGTCAGAATCCTACAGGCCATATCAGCGTTTGAATCTGGCGCTTGGTGCTAGAGGCGTCGAGTTGCCGAGAGAAGGACAGCTCCCATGCATGGGATCCCCCTGTCGCGGCACTTGCACCTTTTTTACGGGAAAAGTGTGGGCATGTCACAATGACCAGTAGAGCCGCAATGTCAGATCCAGACCGTGTCACAGTGTATTGTATTTTCTTTACTAGGGGTTTGGGGTTCTTTAGGGGTTTAGGGTTTAGGGGTTTAGGGTTTCCGGGGATCCGTTTGAACGTCCACGAGCGACACTTGACACAACGCATACGCAGCTTCGGCCTTCTGGATGGTTTTGATCCTTGAAACCCTAAACCCGGAACCCGACTTCAAGCCCCTAAACCTGAACCTTGATTGAACCCGAAGCCCCCACCCAACCCTGTAAACCCTAAACCGTAAACCCTAACCCTAAACCCTAACCCCTAAACCCTAACCCCTAAACCGTAAACCCTAACCCTAAACCCTAACCCCTAACCCCTAACCCTAAACCCTAAACCCTGGAGGTCCCCAAGGCGGAGGAGCCTTGCAGGGCCCAGCAAGCTCGGCCGCCTTCCGCGGGCGTGGCCGCCGCGGCTTCTAAAGGCGATAGCCACCGGGCACGAGTGTTAGAGTTACTGCAACTAGGTAGAGGGTGCAGGGTTGTAGGGTTTAGGGGTTAAGGGTTTTTGCTCTGAATTGTGCCTCTGCCGAGGCATGCCAGCTGGTTTTCTCCCTATCCAGGGACAGGTCTTGCTGCACAGCAGCCGCAGATGGCTACCTGCCAACTTGGAATCCCGGCTAAATCGCTCTGGAAGCATTTCTTGGGTCTTAGGGGGTATGGCTCATGATTTAGGGTTTATGGTCCATGGTTTTTGATGAGCATGGTTTGGCCATGTAGCCAAGGTGGGTGTCAGCATTGGCATGGGTTCGGTTGAGGGCTGCCTGTACGTGGAGTACGCAGATCCATCAGGGCGTCCAAGGCGCCAGATGATACTGCCGGACCAGATCCCTCGAATGCTCCGAAAGGTTTAAGTCGCCCTTACCAAAGCTCCTGAGCCATTTAACTCCCTTATGAAGCCTTACAAAAAGATAATGACAAGTCTATAAAACAGTTCTTAGCCGTCTTAGCATCCTACTCATCCTGGTGGAAGCATTTGCTTCTGGCCGCTCCGTTGGTGGCCTGCGGCGTTGAGCCGCGTGACTGAAGTCAGCTGTATGCTTAGTATTTCAAGTTCCGGTATTTTAAAGCCATCTTGGAAAGGTTCCAGGACACAGCACAATTCCCTGCAAAGTACAAGTGCCCTAAGGGCATGGCAGGGTAACTTTCAGATGCCGTCGCGGTTGCGATGGTGCATTCTGTTCTCGTCTAATTTTCTGGGAGTGTTTTGCATCTCCCGCCTTTTCTGAGAGTCTTCTATTGAAGACAAGATCAGACAAGAGTGGCGGAAGACTGCCAAGCAAAACAGCATTAGTGAGTGTGTGTGTGTGTGTTTGTGCGTGTGTGTGTGTGTGTGTGTGAGTGTGTGTGTGTGTGTGTGTTTTGGCATCAGTTCTTGTAGTCCTTGCGCTTCAGGATCAGAGCTTGCGTGCTGCTGCTCTCTCGTGCTGTGGTGCTGTGACAAATGATGACTGGGGACTTCACCCAGCCTTCTTGGCTCAAGCCGAGGCTTTTGTTCTTCTGACTGATACAAATGCCAGGGCCGCTGTGGGTCCAGGCGTCTTTCGTAGTGTGATCAGCGAATCAGCTCCACCACAAGATATTTGGGCGAAATGTGGGCACCGAAAGTCCTGCTGTTCATCTGCTTGCCGAGATATTCTGCTGCAGCAGTGCATGCGCGAGTTGATGCGGAGGGTAGCATTACAGAAGCTCGAAGAATGATGAGAGTCGCTTCAGCGAGGTGACATGTCCAAGGGACACTTAGCGATAGGCTCCCATGGAGCCATCGACACCGCCGCCACCACGGTCACCAGCACCAGAACCGCCTCCCTCCGGTCCGTCACGGGAAAGCCCTTCGCAGTAGCAGATGAGGCTGATGAAGCCTTGAATGCAGGAGCCGTAGCAGCCGCAGAGCTTCGTGGAAAAGGTCAAAAGCCACATCAGCAAGCCATCGCCGCAGCAGACGCGGCGACCCGAGCAGCCAAGGCTGCCGGTAGGCCCTTTGAGCAGGTCGCCTTCGCCTCAGCGAAGGCAGCAGCCCTGGCCGTGCAGACGGCAGGTGGCTCTTTACAGCAGGGCTGCGTGGAAGCTGGACGTGCGGCATCCTACGCTGCGAAGTCCGAGCAGACCGTGGCGATTCCTGCGGCATCGAGCAACGCCGCCTTTTCAGCACTGCGGTCCATGGGCCTGCCAGACGGCCAAATGACGGAGTGCCTGGCGCTTGCGGTAAAGACAGCCTGCAAAGCAAACGGCACACAGCCAGAGTCCCTGGCAGAGTGCGCTGGGTCCACGGCCATGGCGGCAGCACAACACGCAGGAATGACGGAAGATGAGCAAGCCGAAGTCGCCGGAAAGGCAGTACAGGTCATCACGGTCGTCACCGACAGCCCTGAGCCAGAGGCTGTGGAGACCACAGAGAACCCGGAGCTGCAAGTCTTAATCAGAGAAGTGGAGGAGGCAAAGAAGGCTGCGCAGGACGCCGCAATTGCGGCTGGCATGGCCCATGTAGAGGCTGAGAAGGCCAAGGCTGAGGCGAAGGTCTCGACGACGACGTCGCCGCCGACGACAACAGTGCCGAGCAATGCGACCTTTGAGACGGAGGTCATCGTCACAGAGGCTCCCAAGCCTGTTGCTGCCTGAGTTACGACCTACTGAAGGGAATGAAACCTGCAATCCAGGTGGTTCTTGTTTGCCCGTGAGATCCTGTGAGTGCGTGAGGCATCTGCGACCGCCGCACCTTCCATAACCACTCCCGCCGCACAGACGCGTCGGCCATGCCCAGACAGCACCCGAGCTCCTAGAGGAACATGGGTGGTGTACAACCTGAGTGGGGAGCCCAGACGTTGCGCAGATGTTTGCGTTATGTGGGCTACAGCGACTGCGGCGACTGCCAGCGAAGACCTGCGACGCTCACTGCCCAGGTGCCACGCCGATTCTGCACTCCTGCCTCGTTCGATCCATCAAGGACCGGGTGCCGGACGAGTGTTGCTCCGCGAACGGTGCCGAGAACATGGTTCCTGGGCGCATGAACCAGGGGCTTCTTGTCCACGTGTAGGGAAAGCCGTCAGCATCCGCATGCCGACACCTCTTTTGATGATCTCAGGTGGGCGCGACCTTCCAGGAGCTCTACTACTCCAACGAATATGGCACCTGTCCTACCCTCACCTTTGCTGGTCCGCTTGCTGGTACCAGGGTCAAGTTGCAGTGCAACTTTGACAACACCATCACATATGGAGAAAGCAGATGTGGGGCAGATTGCAGCTGCGCCTTCGAAGACGTCTATGGGCCAGGGTGCTACAGGGCAAGCGATGCCCTGCCGGGTACTGCCTGGTTCTTCATGACGGCTGGATGTGATTGTACTGATGCCAAGGCAGCTCCGACCATGTCTCGCAAACACCAGGGCGGTGAGGGTGTGTGCGGTGTTTTTGTTTTGCAAGCCTTTTCCAGGCAGTGCAGCCGCATCAGCCTTTTGGCTGCAGACGTGAAGCGCAGATTTCGCCCCCCCCCCCCCCCCCTNNTACTGATGCCAAGGCAGCTCCGACCACCTCTCGCAACAAACACCAGGGCCAGGGCGTTTTCGGTTTTTTGTTCGCTACTGCCTTCTTGTCAGGCCGTGCAGCCGCATCAGCCTCCCGGCTGCAGACCTCAGCTGCGCAGATCTTCCCCCGCAGATTTCCCTGCTCTGTGCGAGGTTTAGCTTGCCACCCCTTGACCAGAACGTGAGAGCTGGGGACATCTTGAATGTTGGACCAGAGGAAGCTGCGCACTCATGGGCCCGCCGTTTCATGTGGTCTCCTGGTGCAACTTGCTCGCTTCGCCTTTGCAATTCGCTGAGGCCGCGAAGGCGATGAACCGACAGCGCCAGCAATTGCTCCGGCCCTAATTTTTCCCTTCTCTGTCCGCAGTTTTCGTTGTCCATGAACTGAGAGAACCACGGAGGCGAACATTCCACGATGAGATGGTGAAGGACGAGCAGGTGCT